CCCTCCCTTTGTGTTGCTAACCCCCACCCCCTTAGAAAAGGCAGATCAGGAGTTTCCCTCGGTGCCCAACAAAGAACTGAATGTTATGTAAAGGATAACTACTCTACATATAAAACACAGCCTCTCTCCGGCAGAGACATGAAGCTATGGAGGCATTTCAGAGCAGACCTTCAAACTAAAGGGATTTTTTTTCCCAAACTGAAGTACCATACAGAGAAATGTTTTAGCTGCACTGCTTACTTTAGCAGATGGTAAACAGCTTAGTAAAATATCTGGATGTCTCACTTGAATTTCTAACTAAAACTCTCAGAGGCTGAAGCTTAGAAATACTGATCCAAACTGTTTGGCTGTTTTTCAAACCGGGCTTCAAAACAAGACTCAGGTCTGCATGAGAATAAAAACAACAACAACAAAATAACCTTTACTAAAGTGCACAAAATCAAAATACTAATATATACAAATCAGTTTTATTCAAAATAAAAAAATGCAACTGGTTCTCCCCATCTATTATAATCACCCTGCTTAATAATTCAACATGATAAATTCATTCTCCTTTACTTTCTTCATTATACACTGTATGTTTCTTCTAAACTCATAATAATGTATTTCTAGTACGCCGAAAAGCTTTCTTTCAGAAAGATGACCCACAAAATGCAGCAATACGTGGGGGCAGGGGCTGTGCTGTGGTCCTCTTTGGTTCACACAGCCGGAAAAAAAGAAAAAAGTAACTCGGGTCGTTTATTTTAAAAATCAGGAACAGGCTTTTATTTTCCAACAAAATGACCCAAAGTAAAAGGTCGGGGAGGGACAGCACCGTGTTAGTGGAATAAAACAGCTCAGCTAAAAGTGCTTTAAAGTCCTAGGGAAGCGGCCGTTCCAACCACTGCATTTCTGAATTTCCCCGAGTGGTGCACGACTTTACACCAGTGAATAAAGTAAATGTGATTGGTCGATTATCAATTGTTGTGGTGGATGTTTCACAAGCAACTTGGGTTGTGAATTTAGGTGTACAAACTGATGTATAACTGACTGGCGTGGATAAGATAACGGAAAAAAACGACACAGATATTAAGACAGTATTCTTTTTTTTTAAATAGAAATTTCCAAATTTGTGGGTCAAAATTGTTTGATAAAAAGTACATTTATATACATGTTTAAGCCAGAATGATTTGACATATAAATATACGACTTTAATAACAGCAGAAATGGTAAAACAGACTAACAGGTAAAAGCTTGGTCCACCTCAGCAACACCAATCTGTACTGGGTGAAGTGTTTTTAGCTGATGGAGACACCAAATCCCAATCCTTTGGCAACTTAAACATTGTGAGACGGCAGCGGCACTACTAAAACTCTCCATAACCAAGCTGTCAAAGATTCATAGAAAAACCAAATGGTCTGAGGAAACATCCCAACCATCATAAGGAATTAATCGTAAACTGGGATATTTCAGCATGACGACGACTTCCACACTACGATACAATGAAGTATAACCCAGCACCTCTATCTCAATGGGCTTGTAAAAAAGTCAGTTTGAGAAAAAAATCTTTTACTTCTACTCAACAAAAAACTCCTTATTTAGGGTTTCACCCATCTGAACCCCCACTACGTGCTTCTTTAAGACGCTGTTAAATAGTGGCAACCTTTCTGTGACTCAGATTGAATCTTAAATTGTCTGAATCACAATCATATCCCAAACACAGCACCACTCCTATCCACATAGGGAAGGCCGATCATGAATGACTCACGTGTGACGATGTGGTGTTGAGTAACGTAGAACGACCCTCTAGCCCTACCCCGGACAGCACTCCCTGTTTTAACATAACAACAGCGTAACTAAGGGAAGTGACTAAGTGGTGATCAGACGGCTGTAGTCTGCAGACCTTGTGTCTGCCATGTCCACACTTGACACCAGAAGCATGTGTTGTACAAGTCATACAACATATGCTCCAGATTGAAGGCATCCGCATGTTATGATAATGTAGTACACAACTTGCCAAATCAGATGTACGCTTTGCAGAGCGAGCATAAAATCAGATCTAACCTTAATCTTTAGGAGAGAGAAAAACAAAGCCTTCAGGCTATGATTCCTTTGCATGAAGATATTCAGAAAGACAAGCCCGCTCCTGCCCTGCTTACATTCTTGTGCTGAATATTTCGTCACAGCTGTGGGCAAGAATCGACAACAGCCTGCAAAGATCTGGTTAACCAAAGTGGCCTGCTGTAAGATGTCCTGGACTTACTGGGCCCTTAACCACAGTTTATACAGTCCAGCACGTCACCTGAACTCATTAGAGTCCAGTTTAGGTTTGTTTTAAAGATTTAAGTCAGATTTCTGTACACCATCTTCTAAACACGGCACTTTATTTACCTTGGGAGGCTGCATTTTTGGCAATATATGTTTAAAAGATGAAATAAACTAACACAAGTGTTGCACTTTGGGCATTTTATCCAACCATTCCTGTTAATGACATAGATCTGGCACCAAATTGAACTTTGGGTGTCACAAACAATGTTTCACTGCTAGAATAATTGAAATGATGTGTTTAAAGTGGTAGGGAAATCATATTTAAATATCAAATCATTCTGGCTTAAACATGTATAGAAATGTACTCTTTATCAGACTATACTATCCAAAAATTTAGAAATTATCTATTTATCAAAAAATCCTGTTTTTAAAATCTGTGTTTTTCGTTATCTTATGCAGGCAAGTTAGTTATACATCAGGCTGAACACCTAAATTCGGCCAATCATATATCAACGGTCATCTGTCAAATATTTTCGGTCATAGCATCTTAATTCATATGTCGCAGCTAATTATATACGCAACGGTAGAAATAAGAATAATTTCCTTTCCCATTGAGTTCCGTCCCAGTGTTCACTGGGATGGACGTCTGTGTCTTCAGCAGGTGTAGAGCTAACAGAACTGGCAGCGTTGCGAGGCAAGGGCTCAAACATGTACGGCTGTAAGCCTTCTACACCAAACCAAGCTTCTGCCGCCCTGGCGTCCTCTTCCACAACATCCGTCCCCGCTTTCCTCCTCTAAATAAAAAATGTATGACGGAGGAGACTCATCCACGACCTCTGACACTAAACTCTCCTCCTCTTGCATGTTTCCTCTGTCCATAGCGTTCCTTGACAGTGTCGTTTCTAAGTCACCAATTTAGTGCTACTTGGTCCCAATGGAATTTCCCATTGGGAACCTACTAGCACTAAGTTGCTAACTGGTTAGCAAGATGCTTCCGAGAAACCGGTCACAACCAAATTTGGTTGCAAACCTTCCGCCACAACAATCCTGCCCCTTTGATAATCGACCAATCATATTCACTTTATTCACTCATGTAAAATCGTGCACCACTAGTGAGAATTTGGAAATGCAACTGTTGGAACAGCCGCTTCCCTACGACTTTGAAGAAGAATAAGAATGTGCTTCTTCTGGTCCAAACAATGTCTGTTCTCTAATTCAAATCAGCGCTAAGAAAATACATACCGTCGTTTTTGGACTATTAGCCGCACCTGAATATAAGCCGCAGAAGCTAAATTGCACGATTTGTACATATACAAGCCGCACCGGACTATAAGCCGCAGGTTTTTTTATGTTTAATTACCATATGGTTCATGCACAGAGAGGATTGTCGGGAAAGAGGCAACTGTTTGGGGAACCTCCTATTTATTAACATCGACTCGTTGATTCCAAGGTTACATGCAACGGTTCCATTTTCTTCTTTTACTGCCAAATTGACTGCCTTTAACTTAAAAGCTGCATCATATGCATTTCTACCGGTACTTTGTTTTCCATAATGAGGGTGTCTTGCGCCCGCAATGTCCGTCTTTCTCGCTGTCGTTCTGCTTCCGGGGGAACATTCCCGCGCGCACAGCTACCGTACTTGTGTGTTGAAGCAAATGTGACGTCAACATGGTGGATGGTAAAATCCATAGATTTACGTATTACCCTAGTGGCCGTTAGCTGTAAATGTCCATAGATAAGCCGCATTGTTATATAAGCCGCAAGGTCGAAAAATGGGGAAAAAGTCGCTGCTTATAGTCCGAAAATTACGGTAATTTTGTAGTCGTTTTAAAAATTGTGATCTCAACTACCAAAAAAAAGTTGCAGGAAATTCTGCTGATATTTTAAGAGAACCTCCAGATAGCATCTGAATTACAAAATTAGGAAATGACAAAACAATCTGCTGCTCTGTTCTTAATGTATAAAGAAGATAAACCTCACCGATCACTAATATCACTATTCTGCCCACACCAAAAAAACCAAAGAAAAAACCAAAAACACAATGGGGTAATTACAGCTTCCAATGGCCAAAGAACAAGGGGAAAAAAAGAAACTTAGGATTTTTCCTTGTGACGCCCCAAGGATATGCTGCCCTGGGCAGAAGGTCATACAGCCCTTATAACCCAAACTAAACACTCTAAATATCTTAACACCATTTATTAAGGGTCTGAACCTTTTACTAAACTCAACTTAAAAGCTTAAAGTTGCAATTTTATTAAAAAGAAAACAAAAAAAACAACTTAGACCAAATGTGAAGTTGAGGTAAAGTAAATAAATTGGCTGTAAAGAAGCACCAAACATGAACATAACAATACAACCTATTGGAAGGTCATTCAAAATCAGGGATTAAAAAACATTTACCAAAAAAAAAAAAGGAAATAAATAAAATAAAGCGAAGAAACTGATAAACTCCAATCATTTCTTCTCTCTCTACCAGTAATCTCCACACAAAGCGGCTACTTTAGGCCTACTTTCCCCCTAAACTCACATTTCTTTAGTTTTAATAAACAAATGTCTTTAAATCTCGCCGTCTTTGAGCAGATTATACCAACCACAGTCTCCTTCCTCCGTTATCTAGCATGTCGTTGATCCACACCCTGAAGTTTGCACCCCAAGTCAAACATTCTTCGCTTTTTTTCCCCATTGTTTGTTTCCCTAAGTCGCTGTAACCGAAGTAAAGCTGGATAAATGTAGGTTAAAACAACATTACTCACCTTAAGCTGTAGCTTTACAGAAGGCTGCTTTGAACTCACAACAACATTAGGTCCAGAAAGTGTCCTTTTTTTTAACGGATACTGGAGAAAAACGGCTAAAATAAAACCTGGGCTCGCTTTGTTTGGCTGATCAAAGGGCACCGCACAGGTACAACGTATAAAAAAACTACTATTAAAACACGGGAGCAACTAACATTCCCGCATCCTTCGTTGTGAATTTAGTAAAATTAGATGGAAAGCCTGATCGGGACACGTTGCTCCCAGTATAACACTACTGGGTCTTTTTCTTCTACAAACCTCTTATTTTACCTCTAACCCCGCCCACACAGAAAGCTCAACGGCATGCAAAGGTCTAAAGAACAAGCACACCAGCGATGCGTGAACCCTCGTTAACCTCTCTGTGGGGAGAAAATGTACATTCTCATTCAGAAATGGCGAATAATACTTTTCATGTATTTAAATCGACTCTTTTTCACCACATTTACTCCATATTTGAACTAAGGGACTTCTTAGGGCCCCAAGGCAACCACAAAGTCTCTTTAAACAATGAATAGTTTAAATCTATTGATTAATTGATCTCACAGTGGAGAAATTAAGTTGTTATATCAGCTCAAATAGTCAAAAATAGAAGAGGTGTCAAAGAAGAAAAAGGTGCATGAGGTATATACAGTGCGTCTACATATAACAGCTTTTTTCTTATTTTTATTTTAATTTTTTAGCAAAAAGTAGTTTATTCAAGTATACTAAAAAAGTGCACTAATTTCATACTTAAAATCAGGCAGTGCACTTAGAGTTTGCTTATTCTAAACTATATTTCATATACTTAATAATAGTATAGTCAAGAGTACTTGACTTACACTGAGAAGTATAAAAAGTGTTTTCTAAAGTATATTTAAAGTATACTTTAGTAAACTTAAAAATGTCCCAATTTAGTTGGAAGAAGTGTTACTTTAGTAATACTTCAAGTATACTACGTTTTCCATGTCTGGTAATTGAGAAGAGGCATGAAAGCAGCCAAGGAGGAATCATTTCTTATTCTGTCATTAGCCACCCCTACCATTTTTTCCACCACTCATCCAGATGGTGGCAACAGTAATACTCTCAAATGGAATATTCAAAACATTTTATTTTTTTGTGGTTAATTATGATCATCAATATACTAACATTAAAGATGATAAATACAGAATTCATGCTCTTTTCAGAACTAGATTATGGAGTAAAGAGAAAATGATGTGTTTCTGCAATTCATCTAGGAGTCTTCAGTGAAATCAAAGATAAATAACTATTTTAATAAAAACTTAGCAAACAATTTATGTAGATATTAGTGCTTGTAAATATCAATTTTATGCAGAATGTTTATTGATACAAGTAGGTAAGTAATGACAATGATGATTGATTTACACCCCAGAACTAAAAACTGAGTTTTATCCACTATACCTTTCATCTAGAAATTACAGATGTTTAAATATATGTGTCTATTTGTTAGCAAATGCTGCAGGAAACTATAGTTTGTCTTAATTTAGAAAATATGGATGTTTTGCTCGTTCATTTTCCTGGTGGAACAGTGTAGATTGACCGTGAGGTTCTGGGGCCTATCTGCTTTCGGCCACGCCTCAGTCTACATTGGTTACTGCCTGGCCCCCATTATAAAAAATTTCTAGCTGATCATTATACAGGGTTATTGCACACAGTATTTACATGAGTATTTATATACAGTGGCGGTTCTAGACAAAAATGTACCAGGGGGCCAGGAGGTGTCCATTAGGGGTGGGTATTGCCAAAGAAGTCACGATTCGATTTGAATCACGATTCACAGGCCACGATGCAATTCTATCACGATGCATCACGATACTTGAATTATTGCAATGCAATGCAATATTTTCTCCTCAATGTTTTGTTTTTGAATGACTCGGCGCAGTATCCCGCAGCCGGAAATGCTTGTGACACAAGGCAGCGTGCGTCAACACATCCGCAGCGACATCTACTGGACTGGAAGTTGTATTACACTTGTTTTTGGCTGATGTTCGCCAACCATTCATGTAATTTTATTTATTCATTTTTTTTTTATTAATAATCGATACTTGGCGTCAAGAATCGATGCAGTAGATCACGAAAATTAGAATCACGATGCATCATCATGACGATTATTTTGCACACCCCTAGTGTCCATGGGGGGGCCCAGAAAAGCCTGAAAGGCAAGGTAAGGTATTCAAATATATTAAGATAGCTGCATGAAGTGCATTAGTTTTAATTAATTTTAATTAAAATTCTAAGTCTCATTAGTAGGGGTGTAAATCACACCCATCATAGTGATTCAATTCAGTATCAATTTCTTGGCCCAACAATTCAATTATTTTCAATACTCAAGAATACAATTTGATTAATTGGTTAATTTTTTTTTTTTACCTTACAGGCTAGACAATGTTTCAAATTTGAAAAAAATCAATGAAAGCTCTAATATCGTTATGCATTTTATTTGAGAATCAACAGCAAATAACATAGGCCACTTAGGCCTATGAAAACCTCATTCACTGAAAAATAATAATGCCTCTGTGTTATAGATTCTTAAAGGCCTTGCATTAAAATTTACTGCAAAGAGTGCATAAGTGCATTAGCAAATCACGTAACAAAAACAGGCCTATTCTACATTCACTATAGAATAACAAAACTCACCAATATCAGTGCAATGAGTGAAAAAGTGAACTAGCAGCAAATGGTAACAAAAATAGGCCTGTACTTCATTCACTATATAATGACAATACTCCACAAAATCAGAGCAATGAGTGCAAAAGTGCACTAGCAGATTAAGTAACAAAAATAAGAACCTGAAATACTTCCACATAAATGACTTGAACCCAAAAAGGGTGTGTAGGTCATCTTCTTTTTCTCTGCCATGTCTGTCTTACATACTGTTTACGTGTCTGTGTGTGTGCAGGCGGAAAGAGGGTTGTGGCTAAAGGAAGCGAGGTAGGAGGGCAAAATAGGTTAAGCGCCACCGCAGCACAGGAGTCAGAATTACGTCCAGGAGCAAATGGATAAAAATAGACCGGAGGAAAAAACAAAACATGAGTCAATACTCCTGCGTATGTGTCGATGCATCGGATCGTAGGCTGTTGGATCGATACAAAACGATTATTATTTAAATTTAGGGATTTTACATATTTTTGACTTAATTTAAGTAAAAATTACAGTTTTCTATAAAATCTGAATTAGAACTCAACAAAAACTGATAAATTCAGCTGTAAAAATTTGAGCATTTTTTTTATTTGTTTTGGAAAAAAAGCATTTAGCAGAATCAAATTAGGATCCTATTTCAATTCCACTAAAGCTATCATCTTTTTATTTTTAAATAACTAGTAAAACAGAATTTGTAAAGAAAAAAATGAAATAGATCCAAAGAACCTATCAGTAACCATGTCTGTTCCAGCGAATATCATCATTAGAATTCCTTGTAGTATGATGTCTTCAGTACAGGGGCCATAACAGGTACAAGGACATTTAGACAGGGGCACTGGCCCCCATTTGCCCCTGTCTAGAACCACCCATGTTTATATAGGTAGATATTTGTATATATAGAAATTGCACTGGGTGTTTATATAAAAAAAAACTGGGTATTAAATAGTAATTGCACATTATACATTGCAAAAGTTATTACTGTTGTACAGTCTCATTGTAGAGACTGTTTGCATCAATGTATAATAATTTCTATGTAGAAAAGTTAGGAAAAATGCAATTTAATGATAAAATTATACATTTTTGGCCTTAAAATATCTTCAATCATGAAGAAATCCTTACCTTTATGAAACACCAGAAAGAGTGATTGGTCAGCTCTGTTTATGCTAACTAACACTGAATCAAAAATGTAACATCCAGTTGTTTTATGTAATATTTCATCACTAGCACTTTTTAAAGTTATCAATAAGCCACTGACACAATTTTTCTTTCCTAGCTGTCTAAATTCTTCTATACACCACTATGTCATTTCCTTTGGGATTAAAGGTATGGTGGAGGATGTTCTTTTTCTGGGTGGATCATCTAAATAACTGGTCCTCTTAACTGTCAATCATCCTGGTGATATGTTAACGTAAGGCTGTCCTACGTGCTTGTCCCCATTTTCGCTTACAGTCAGTCTAACATAGTGAAAAAATTGCAAATCTTTTGGAAAGTAAGCTCGTGTAAGCGATGCAAACAGCAACTTTTAAATAGAGCGTGCACGAGGAGAAATGGGCTCGTGCACGCTCTTGCACGCTTTCAAGAGGCATTCCCTCTCTGGAGCGGGTACATGGTTGTGCATGTGCATTTTTTTTTTAAAGGGGAGTCGGCAGTTCTTTTCAAAAATTCATAAAAATCCTCCGTTATACCTTTAATAAAGTATTTTTGCATTGAATTAACAAGCCGTTGGTCAATATTACTGACATAGCAACATGTATTCCCTGTAGATTATTTCGCTGCTCATCCATTCATCTTCTTTCCTTATCTCTGAGTGTCATGGTGGGGCTGGGGCCTGTCCCATAGCAGTCTGTGGGAAAAAGGTGAGGACCCTGGACAGGTCCCCAGTCTATCGCAGGGCAACACAGAGATATACAGCCATGCATACACACACCTAAGGACAATTTAGTCATGCTTCTGGACTGTGGTCTAAAGGTCACTGGATGACACTGAATTTCTCATCATATTGATGAAACCAGTTTATGATTATCTAAATGTTGTAACCTTAGAGTTTTGTAGGAGAACTTGGAATGGAAATCTGAAATATTAAATCACACAGTTTTGTTTAAGTTCAATTAAAGTCAAACATATACTATTGACCCCAAACAGCAAATAAAATGTTGTAATTACAACAAGTTATTTTAAATGTTAATAGCTGTAAGTAGGACGGATCAGCCAGTCAGATGATTGTTTCCACTCCACCAGTTCTCTGCACTCACCTTATTGCCCATCTCTGATGATTCCAATGGCTGCAGAGACATTGGAGTATTTCTGCAGATGATAGGACGCTGTTTGGTACTGGAAGTCAGAGGCATACAGAGTACACAGCGTGATGAGAGTACCATCCCACATACTGGTAGTGCTTTTGTGTGACTTTAGACACCTGACCCTTCAGTCTCACAAACTGTGGTCTATTTGTCACATAGTCTTAGATTAAGATGATTATTGACACGAGTTGAAGCAGAATTATGTTAAATGCATGGAATAAATCAAAGAACACCTTCCTCACAGAGCTGTCTGCCTTCTCTAACTCCCACTAGGCTTGGTAAAGCTGGTGTAGGACTGCATCATTAACTCCATCTCCA